CCCTCCATTAATTTCTAGCCAACTTTAAGCTTGGATTTATGGATGTAAATTTGTGGTTCTTGAAGAGATAAGATTGTAATAAGGGTGTGTGAGTTTTATGTTAGTTTTGTGAGTTTTGAGGTTAGTTTGATGTGGTATGTTTATGCTTAATCTAAGTTGCTTATTTTCATATTAGAGGAAAAATTTTCCGGTGACTTTGACCGTGAAAATGAGGACCATAGAGCGAGATTTTTCAATGTTTTAAAGCTTGAACTTATAGCCCTGGATGTTTTGAACATTTTCGGTTACTATGATAAAACCTAATTTTAACTCTAAAACCAAGTTTGAAGCCATTTTGTAAAAACGGACAAGCTGTCCACCACAGTCCAAAAAAAAAAAACTGGCAGCCACTAGTTTAGCCAAACGGGACTCTTAGAGCCAAAAAAAAAAACTGGCAGCCACTAGTTTAGCCAAACGGGACTCTTAGAGGCTGAATCTCAATTTTTCACAAAAGTGACAATTTTATATTTTGATCAGACGAAGAAATTTCATGAAGAAAAGATTTTCAAAATCTGACCCTAAGAGGTACTAAAATACAGATTCCTGAAACGGCACAGTTTTTTACTAAAACAGTTTCAAGAAAAATAGCAGCTACGGTTTTCGGCCAAACGGGGCCTTTAGAGGCTGAATTTCAACTTTCACCAAAAACGATAATTTTAGATCTCGACGAGATGAGAAATTTTCATGAAGAACAAAATTTTGAAATCTGACTCTAAGATATAGTAAAACACAGATTTCAGAAACTGCACAGTTTTTAACGAGACAAAACTAAAACAGTGTCGGTTTCAACAAAAAGTTATAAAAGAACCCGAGATAGAATTTCAGTAAAATACAATGACATTAAACCTCATTTTAATGAAAGTATTCATAAAGAAAATTTTCAAGAAAAATGCTTTCTTTAAAGAACATAGTGGGTTATCGAGCAAATCATCCCGACAGGCACCTACGAGCCCAACACGATAGGTCCTCAGGATTTCGAGGATTTGATGTGGGTCCAATGCCCGCATTGATTTAAGATACTCCGTTTGAGTTTAAATTTATGCGGCCTAAGAGTTAAAATGCCGTGAATAAGTTTCCAGGCCGAATTGAGCCTTAATATTATAATAAGTCCAATGAGGAAAATTATGGAGACTAAGTTACTAGATGGGGTAAATGATTTTCAATCTAGACATAAGTATGTTAAGGGCAATTAAAGAAAATAAAATTTTGAGGATCTAATAAATTGATCCTTATAGTAAATTATCATTCAGAAAATGAAAGGAATACCTACCTTAAGAAAATGGTTAGATTCCTTCATAAGTTGCTAAAATAGAATAGCAAACGACAGTTAATCTCACACTCTCAATGGGTGTTCATTTTCAGAAATAAGCAA